GATGATGTAGTGGCTTTACTAGACTTACCTAAAGTCTCAATCGGTACATACTTATAATGATATCTCATTAGAAACCTATGTGTAAATTTGATTCAGAATGGAAATCTAATAACCACATGAGCGCTGCTGAACTAGCTGTTAGATTTGTGGATTACTACTCGAATTTTGATACCTCACAACATGTGATCTATATAGAGAAGGGTTTAGCTTCGAGAAGGTGCTTTCTTAACTTGATTATCACTTAAGTGAAGTTAGACATTCTTTTGTTGTTTGAGGCGACAAGTTTCTGGGGAAGTCCGTCTACTACTGGTAGATCCGTATTCCAACATGACGGTGTGTAGATCTAGTGCAGCGGCGAAAGCATTCGCTGATGGCATGGCGTTTCTGAGAAGAAAAATGGCAAACGGTAAGCTTTATCTGTACCCTTATGCAGTCTATTTAGAATTCTGATGTTCAGGGCTTTTTTTGGACTCGTTTCCCGCATTCCCGGAAGCATCAATGTTTCAAGCACAGACTAAATGGCAATCATGGCGGTTACACGTTCAAGAACGAAAACTTATAGTTGATAAAAGAGCGCAAGACCAATCAACAGATGCAGAGCTGCAAGAGGCTGACACAACTTGATTTTGCTCATATTGATTGTATGTTTTGTACATTTTAGAGATAAATTTTTGATTACGATTCGAATAATATATTTATATGCCTTTTTTGGGTATTTAAAATGGAACAAAAAATTTATGTCGAAGGAGACTGTTGGAGGATTTAACTCCATCATAATTTTGATGCTAATAGAGGCTGACCCTAACAGGATGTCAACAAAAAAAATTCGTATTTGTGAGAAATAAGATGTCTGAAATGCAAACCTTATACAGAATCCTAAAGAGGGTTTCCAAAAAGGATGTGTTAAGCTGGAACAGTCTATAATATTTCAACTCTCACGTATTAGTACATTATTTATTTTATTCGTAGATTATCGCAGGCAGCCTAATTAAAAAAAAACAACAACAATTCTACACGATAATAAATGTTCTAGAAAGTTAATTCCCAACTACCATG